TACATTAAATTAACTGAATAAAACATAAAGTTAACATTAACTAAATAAAACATAAGCCAACACATTGCATCTCCAAGTCACACGTGCCTTCTACCATATAGCATTGCACGTAATTCCTCCTTGTAGGCCTCTTCATCGGGAGTTAGATCAGTACCCTTTGAAAGTAGATCTTGCAGCATTTCATAGTTCAGCCTTCTCTCTTGTATGTCAACTTGTTTTTGTTGAATTTTGACTTGTTTTTGTTTCCTCCTCTCCCTTTCCATGTCAAAATCCAACTTCTTCAACCGTATTTGTGCCTCTGTTTCCCTACAGGCATTATTCTGCTTCATTTGCTCACCAATGATTGAAGAATCAGAAGCCACTTCTTTTCCCTTATTACGCTTGGCCTTTGCCTTTTTAACACCATCGGGTCGAGGAAGACCTCCAGAACAGAAACCCGTGGATGGTGTATCACCTTCCTCTACGGTTCTACATCGCTTATCACTGCCACTACTATCATCTTCGACGGCATCACCTACAGCTAATCTTTCCTCTCTTGACAACGCCCACCTAAGTTTTGTCCTCCACTTTGGGTCATTTTTAACCATTTCCCAACCATGGTGACAATTAAAATTATGTTGAGTAGGCTTGGAGGAAGCATAGAATAACTTACTGGCGTTATTAATTCGATCTGCTTCGTTGTAGCCACTTCCTGTAACCCTTCCTGCTTTGTCATAGCAGCTACTCCATTGTATTAAATCAGCTGCCATCCTTCTCCAACGACTTTCCAAACTCCTCAAAGGTCTTGGTGGTAGAATGTGAGGTTTCTCAGCCTGCGCTTCATCATATGCCGTTGAAATTTTTCTCCAAAGCACAGATGCTTTTTGGTTTGTACCAACAATTGCATCTTCACTGAATTGCAGATACAAACCAATAAGAGTTTCATCCTCCGCAACAGACCACATTCGACTCCCTTTTGTAAGTGGTTGGTTTTGATTGACAGACACTCTTGGAGGAGGTGGAGGGTATTGTGGAGTATCTGGAACACTTTCTTCCATTTCATCTTCATATTGAGAATTGCTCCCTTGATAAACAGGAGGTGAATGTGGTGGTGGAAATTGAGGAGGTGTTTGTTGTGGTGGAAATTGAGGAGGTGTTTGTTGCGGTGGATATTGAGTAGCTATTCGTTGAAGGAAGGTTTGAAATCGAGGGTTAGTGACAAAATCATCACCCAAATCAGAAAAATAATTAGAAAAATCTGGGTTGTTAGGATCCATTAGCAAAATAATAATAATAATAATAATAATAATAATAATAATAATGATAATAATAATAGTAATAATAATAATAATAATAATAATAATAATAATAATAATAATAATAATAATAATAATAATAACAACAACAACAATAATAATACTACTACTTTTTTTTGACAATATAATAATACGATTTTTTTCAAGGATTAATAAATTTAACAGAAATAATAATAAAGAAATTAATAATAATAATAATAATAATAATAATAATAATTATAAGAATACCAATAAAACTACTACTTTTTTTAAATTAACACTACTACTACTACTAGTAATAATAATAATAATTATAATAATAATAAAAATAATAATAATAATAATACTAAATAATAACTGAGGGTTTTTTTTGTTACGAATAATAATAATAATAAAAATGATGAAAATAACTCAAAGAAATTGGGAAAAGAAGGAAATTTGTAGTATTTATGGGTTTTTTGAAAGTATATCAAAATATATCAAAATGCATGTCTATTTATAGAGAAAAAAAAATTTATCCGTTGGTGAATTTTGTTTTTTTTTTTTATAATTACAACGGTTATATTTACCTTACAAAAATATAACCGTTGTAATAAAAGCAAAAAAATCTGATTGGTTGGAAGGACAAAGCCTGACGCGTGTCGCATCCCCATTGGCTGGGTCTGACGCGCGTCAGGCCAGTTGCCCCCTTATTTTTTTTTCCCTTTTTGCCCCTCAAAACGGCGTCGTTTCGCCCTTCTTTAAGGCAAAACGACGTCGTTTTGCAAGCCAGAAAGGAAAAAAAAAGGGAGAGCAGCGTGTACATGTGGGGCCCACCGGTTACTGTTCACGAGTATTTCCCCTCAACTCTTGTGCGTTTTCCATAGCTCTCAACGGTGAGGGTTTTTTCCCTCACTAACGTAATGCTCGGGTATTGTTTTTACACCTTTATTTTTACTCGTGAGGGCTTTTTTCCTCACTGCCGGGAGTGCTCTAAATATAAAATAAAATTTCAAGGTTTAAAAGACTTAAAAAATTTCGTCAAAATGAAAAATCCCTCAAAAAGTGCATTTCTGATCGTTTTTTTGGCTAAAATCACAGTCCTAAAAGGATAAAACCATTTCTAGAACGCCTTTTGGACCAAAAATTCACTATTTTTGGGCAAAAATCAGGGTTCGGGGCTGAAATTAGCTCTAATACAGGTTTAAAATAATAAAACCAAGCTACTAATCTAATTAGCAACTTAAAACCAAAAAAATTAAGACATAAAAACACCTTGAAAAATATGATTATAAAAATAAATGAGCAAGGCTCCGATAATGCTACTGGGTTTCGATGAGTCTGGCCCACCACGGAAAGAAACCCGACCCAAAACCAAACTCACAATAATTGTAACCATAAAGCATAATTAATTTAAACACAAGACTAAGTAAGAGGATCAATACCTTTGTAGCGTGCTTCGCTCACTTAATTGAGCTCTTACTTCGAAAGCTCTTAGCCCCGCTCACACAAGGACCTCCAACAAAGTCCACCCGCAACCCGATCACCAAAAACGATATATTGCTTAGGATTTAGCTAAGCCCGACCTAGACCCGAGGAATTAATTGTGTTCAAAGGTTTTCACAATGGCGATGCCTTTTTCAACACTTACTCAAGTAAACAATCCCAAGTCATGCCTTGGATATTTATAAAACAAAAAAAGCTTCCATGTGAATTCCACTCATCTTTCAATGTTGGACTTTTTCACAAAAAGATCCCACATGGAAAGATTGGTGAATTCAATCCTTTGTAAAATAAACCAAGGAATAACTAAGTAACAAGTGTCACATGGTTAGGTGAGGACCACTTCCTCACTTGCTCCTCAAGGCAACTCACATGCATTGTGAGCTAGCCATGTGTCACCCAAACTTGAGCCCCAAATTGGGTTCGGTTGAACCACTCAATTTTTTGGCCCATGCTCATGACCCTTCACCCGGGTCCACAGGCGATGCCACATGGTGCTGCCATTGTGGCACACTGCCACATGGCGCGCTACCAACGTGGCTGCTTCCACTTAGCACTGCCATGTGGCATGCTTCCATGTGCGTTGCCACGTGGCACGCTTCTATATGGCGCGCTTCCTTAGCCTTTTGCATGGCCAGGGTTTTAATTGTTACTTGAAGCATTATTCCCGGCCCGTCTCGCAAATTCCTACATTTTGGCTTGACTTTCGAAGCTCGGATTCGACGCTCCAAGCTTGAATTTCCAACGTCTAAATGTTAATCACTCCGTTGACTCATTAATTCCTTCCAAATTAATTCGTCGCGTCGGTTCATTAGTTGCTTGGGTGTGACCCGAAGGGTTCAGTCAAGATTAAGCTATAATGTTAAGTACTAATTAATATTACTGATTGGAAGCAGCCTCCACCCAGGCATTCCGATCACTTGACCTCACTAAATAATTAGCTTTCTAATCATTTCAAACCCTCTATCGGAATAATACACTTGTTCGAAGGACACCATTCCTTTCATAATTAGCTTGTTTCGACATATCAAATTAGCTGATTTCATACGCCCTCGTCTCTGATGTAGTGTTAACCGCATCCATTTATTTCTTTTCTTGAATCTTATCAAGATCTAGTTTTACTCCCACTTGGCTTTGAAGGAATAGATTTCTTCCTATAAAGACATTATCGCAAGCAACAAAAACTTTTTTTATCTACGCGATTGTAGGAATAATACCTCTTAATTTTCATGGGAAAACCTACTAAGAAATATTAACTTGATTTAGGGTGTATTATGTCATCTTTGTAAAATTTTTACTTCGATTTCATAACCCTTAATCTTTTTTAGAAAAGACAAATTTTGGAACATTTTCAAATCATCACTTTTATGACGTCTCTTCAATTGCTTTGGTTGAGGTTCAGTTTAAAATATTCCCAATTGTTGTTATAATGTATATCCTCAAAAAAATATTTGTAAATCATTAAAGCTAATCTAGGATCGAACCATGGCAAGCAAAGTTTGATTCCTTCTTTTAAACATACATTTTTAATTGTAGTGTTTTTGGATTATGAATTAATTCAACAATTCCCTTAGATCATCATTGATTTTGAGTTAAATATTTATCAGAATAATCATATTGTGGTGTTAAATTGTTTATGTCAAACTGATTATACATTTCATTTCGGAATTCTTGAACATTTCAATGATTCTAAGATCTACTTCATTAAAAAATTATAAATATAGTTACTTAAATCGTTAGTAGAAGCAATGAAATAGTTAAATCGCTTGCTAATCCTTGAACTTATTGGTCCACGTACATCATATGTATGAGTTCCAAAGATCAATAGCTCTTTCAACCTTTCAACTTAAAGGCGACTTGGTCATTTTACCTTTTCAAGCATGACTTTTAATTCTTAAGTGATTCATAATCAAATTAGAATAAGAGTCCATCTAATTGTAAGCTTTGGAAGTGAAAATGGTTTATGTGACCTTACCTTACTTAGTTATAAGTAATTTTATTTTTAAATCATCTAAATTGCTTTTGTGATCTACTTATATTGATGTTATAAAACAAAATCAACTCGTATATAGCATAAATGAAAACAATTTATTACCTTGAACATGGATCAACACTTGTCCATGCCAAGAAAATAAACCAAATCATTATTCAACAAGAAAACCGAAATATTGTCTCATCAAAACCGGAAATAAGTCTAAAATCATCATAAAATAATCTGAAATTAAACCTATGAAGCTTCCTTGGTCACTCGAACACTTCTAGTGCACCCTTAAGCTTTACTTCCATGCTAGCCTCACTTCTTGGCAGTTTCTGCACAAGATTAATAATGTTAAGCATTGCAACTAGTATCACATACCTAAGTGAAAATTAAAATGTTTATAACAAGATTATTAGAAAACTTTAACCTGTCACTTCATCGTAGTGGGGACATCCTTGTTCAAGCATTTGCTTATTCTACCTTCAGGTAATTCTCTACATGATTCTTGAGTAAATTAACTAGCTTGACTGCAGAATCCTCATCATCTTGAGAAAGTTTCTCGAGGTCAAAACTATCATGTAGAGAGTGCAAATTATATCATGAACCTGATGATCTTTTTATGGTCTCCATAACATACTCATGCGGTTAAATAGTTGAACCATCATATCCACATGATTTTATACCAACTGGCCTAGCATGAGTTTTCTCGAAATTATCTCGCCATTAATCTTGTAGGTTTCAATTCTAATATTTCCAGTCCAGGAGTCGTCATTCTTGGGAATCAAGTTAATGATTTCCTCGACGTTTCCATTAAATTCTCAATCAACATGGGAATTCAGTATTCCATTGCAAACATCACGTAAGCACTTGAATAAAAGATAAGGTTCATAATCCATGAATCTTCTAGCCTAATCCTCTGGAATAGAAGATAACATTACATATGTGACACTCTAAGAATTTGAAACATTTCTCAAATGCTTCTCAAGAGTCATGCCTGGACTAAATCTGCCCTCGATTGGTAAGCCTAAATTAATTCGAGATTTTCGTTCCTTAGAACACTTCTAAGTTTGCTTTCCCAGTCGTTGAAGTTGAGAGAATTAAGCCTTGTTTTCATTGTTGGTAGAAGGGGGCTTTCTTTTGTTTGTTAAAAATCCACAGACAACATTCTGGAACTTCCAAACCTAAAAAATACAAGGATGAAGTCCCTCAACAGATTAAAGAGAATCAGAAGCACATAGATGGTTTCATAACTGTTAAAAGGAAAAGGAGCCCTCTCCTCAATGACCGATAGCATACAAGTACCGTGAGGGAAAGGTGAAAAAGAACCCTATTTAGGGAGTGCGGGTTAGAGCTGCAGCTTCTGCTTCAGCATTATTGTCATCATTGTTACGACTACCCATATATGTCAAAATAAGGCAAAGTTTAATAATTATGTTTAATTAAAATAATTAAAGTACCATAAATGAATTAACTTGGTAACTTTAAAACACTCCATTAAATATTTATTGATCCCAATTGAATTTCAAGTGATTTCAATACCCTTTATTTGTGTACTAGTTGACCGGACTGAGGCTCTACCATTAAGCATTACAATTTCAAGGTGAGTAAACTTTTTACTGATTACAACTCTTATAACTCTTGGTTCAATAATTAACCATCACATGATTAATTATTACTCTTTGCTTCAAGGTTCTAAACGCTTTAGGAAACCTTGTTGAGCGTAACCAATTAAATATGTAGAACGTAATCTACCCCAAATTACCCAAGATAACAAGTGACACTCTACTGAGCCCGACCCATCAATCACAATCGAAGGATTGTTGTGTATCTAATTGGAAAAGCAATCTCAATATTACTGGGACCCGGATTTATTATGTTGTGATTATTTAGTGAACTCTAGCGTATCATTAATCAACATAAATAAAATTTAACATGCATAATCTACTAATGCAATGAAACATGACATAGTATGGCCCCTTAGTCCTAAGAAATCTAGAAATGAAAAGTTCCCACTTGAATCATCATGGATCTCCATCCACCTTGCTCCTTTGGGCCTTCACTTTATGAGCTTCTTTGGAATAAACTATTTTAATAACCAACTTATTTACTTTAAATAAAAGTTACAAAAAATACTTAAAGGTTAGCAGACTGTATTTAGATTACAAAAATACATCACGATGCGTAGACCGTATTTAGAATCTATGGGTCATACTAGTCTATATAGCAATATAGTATCGTATATTATAAAAGTGCCATATAATAAATCACTCAACATGCTTGTCTAAACTACAACATCGAATGTTCATAATTAAGGCAATAAATTTCCTAAAATATATCATATTTTAAATCATAATTAGAAAATATCGTATATTATTCATGATCGTTTATAAAATATTATATATTTTAATTTAGGCATGAGATAGAATCAAATCATATTCTAATCTAGAAAGATAAATCATATTTAATCTTTCAACATTATCCTAACAAATTTAGGAGATTGTATCCTAACTACTAGCCAATCAAATAATTTTAAAATCAATTATATCCTAATCTTATTACGGGATAATCATATTATTTAAATCAATTATTATCCTTTTTGAATATGCTCAGAATATTCTAACATATCTTATCCAATATTAACCACTTTAATTATGGATAATTACCAATATTAAAAAACTAAAGATGGATAATATCAAATATAACAACTTTTGAATATTTGATTTATCCTAAAACAAAAGTTTTTTTTTTTTACAATAGCAAAGGAAAAAACAAACGATTTTAACTCAAATCAAAAGATTATATTTCAAAAAATTTATTTTTTCCAAAATAAATCATGTTTATCTTGAAATATTTTAAAATAAAATAATTTTTTTTTTTTTGAAAATCCGAGCCACCACCGCCGGCCACCGTGGTTGGCTAGCCGAAGCTAGCCAAGGTGGCTGGCTTCCTGTTTCAGCAGCCCTGCCGCAAGGGCAACAGCGTGGCAGCAGCTTCTACTGGCTGCAGCCTGCAGGCCACCGTGAGCAGTCAGCCTTGGCTAGCCACGGTGGCTGGCAGCTTTATAGCGCAAGGCAACATCAGCAGCCTTGCTACAGCCGTGGCAGCAGCTGTGCAACTCTTGCACGCTGCTGACACGGCCACCCGGACCTCCTCCCACCCCTTTCCCTTCCTCTTGGACTACCACTTGGTCGGCAGCTGCCGTGGCTGCGCCACTCAGCCACGGCTGTCGACCTTAATATTTTTTTTTTGGTTTTTTATTTAATTGAAATAACTTTTATAAAATTAAATTAAATTAGTCCACTAATTAAAATTAAATCATTAGTCAATATTAAAATTAGGGTTTATCATAAAATTAATTTCAATTTAATTCTAACTCTTAAAAATATATCGATGATCATTCACAAAAAAAAAAAATTATGCATAAATCATTCCAATTAAAATTATGAAACATATTTAAAACAAAATCAACCAAAACAAGCATTAAAATCATATTTTTAAGGCGTACATGGTTCAATTTTTTTTTCTAATAAATAAGGGTTAGGGTTTGAAAATTCCGAATGTTCTAGGGCTTAAATTGGTCCTCTTCATGGCTATTTTGGGCATCATGAAATCATATTCAATCAATTTCAAAAGTTTAATCACATTAAAAATAATAATTGAACCATAATTAATTTAATTTCTCCCTCTTAGGCCTTGTTTGGTAAAGAGCTTTTCGAAAAGCTTTAAAGTTATTGAGCAATATTAGAGGTTTGACTAATTTAAAAAGCTAATTTGGGTGTTTGGTAAATAACTTATTAAAAGAACTTTTTGGTTCCAAAAAGCTCGTTTTGAAAAGCTCATTTTAAGAGCTTTTTACAATTAGTTATTGAACAATTAGCTTTTTGGGTATTAAATACATTGAAACAGCTAATAATAAACATCTATTTACCAAACCCTTTTACACAATCTGCTATTTACATTTAGCTAGTCAAATAAGCTAATGTAACCAGCTAGTCAAACCAGTTAATATAATCAGCTACATCAATCAGCTAAAAGCTAATTACCAAATAGGGCCTTAATTGATTATAAAATTAAGAACATGGACTTCAAATAATCGAATTATTGTAATCAAGTGTGTTCATCCAAGAGACTAACGGATATCACTGTAGGAGTTTATAGGCTCTATAAAGCGGAAAATCATGAATCATATTCATAAAGCAGGTAATCCCAAGATTGCATGCATAACACGTAAGACACACAATCATACCTTTAAAGCTTGATCTCCATATGGCAATTCGACCATCAAATCAGGAAATGAATAGAGCTGCAAGCGTTGCTTCTTTACTTAGTCCACGAACTTCGAACGAGCCGTCCACTAATACTAAATTGGTCGAGTGACTGAGGAAAAACCACGATCACCACCTTTAATTGACTAACCAACCACCATGAACCACCACCACCACAAACCACCAAAACCAACGTCTAGGGAGGAGGAGAGTGTCGTGAGGAGAGAGAGATGAAAGGAATAGTGTCCTTTGGACAAGTGTATTATTCTGATAGTGGGTTCAGAAATATGAGAAAGCTAATATACTCAGTAAGGTCAAGTGATCGGAATTCCTAGGTGGAGGGCTGTAACAACCCCAAAATTCGAGTCTTTAAAAACAATAAGAGTAACCTTTAACTTTCAAAAACCCAACCATCGAACTCTTAAAGTGTTACTGCTACAATTATTTTCCGTAGAAAATAAATGCAAAGCAAAAATAACATAATGTTTAAAATAACTAAGTGGTCTAAGTTGTGGCAAAATAAAATAGTCATTACATCAAACTGCAATTATTTGAAACCAATAACTGAGATGAAATAATTAAATTCGGGAATAAACTAAATTGTCTTAGCTACATGATTATTCTAACGTCTTCTCACACATAACCAAGTACCCTTTCTACCAACCTGCAAAATAAATCAGAAACAAGAAAAGAGAGAAGACTCCCAAAAAACAGATAAACTAAGTAATTCCAACTCCATCCCGTAAAATAAATAAATTTTAGTTTAAAACAGTTTATACATAATATAGTCTCATAAATATTTTAATACTCAACCAAGTTCAAATAGTCACATAACATATTATTACTTTATTTAAGAAAGGGAAAGAGAACGCCAGTAAGCCGGGACTAGTCCCTGTCACCACCTACTTTACAGAGGGTCGCGTGTAACTCCAATTGGCCATAAAATAAAACAGAATGTCCCTAGTGTGCACACCCCTCACTAATGCCCAGTGATTAGGAGGAAGACTAACAGCAATATACAATAATTTAAACCAACTAGTAGCAACCATAACTACTAGTGGGCAACCTGTTCTTAACCCTTTAGGGTTTCATTTCCCTTCTCAAATTAAATTTCACTGTACATCTTATTAGATTATATCATCCAATTACACTGTACACAAGTATTGCACAAATCAATTTAATTTCAAGTATCAATACTTTAATTTCAGTATTATTAGACCATAGTCATCCTACATGACATATAGACCATCAATCACGTATAATCAATCATCCAATACCCAAGATTAATTTTAAGAAAAAACTCATACGATAACAAATAATCATATGTTTTTTTTTTTTCAAAATTACATATACTAGTACACGAAATAGAAAACTCATATATAATATATGATTCCATAATATCATACGATAGCACACTCATCACATATGATTACATAAGCACGTATTTGACACATAATATTTCAAAACAATTTCCTAAAAGGATTCTAAAGATGATGGACATTGAAAATTACCTTGATCGCGCGTAAAAACTCAAGGTAATTAACCTCCGAAACGTTCACCTAGTAGCAACCGTCTACAAATAAACGAGTCCAAGTTAGTTTAGTAAACTAATCGAATTAGTTAGGCAACCTCATTAATGCTTGATGCCTATTACTAATACACCACTACGTAAAAAGAAAAGAAGTAGATTTTTTTTTTTGTTTTTATATATAAAAGAGATGTCTGCCAACTTTTCTAACTTTGTAGATCAATTACTCATCTAACCCCACCATTGTTGCTCCCCTAAGAATCATCTTACAATTTACAGAAGATCAAACAAAACACCCCCCGCCCTTTTCCTTTTTTTTTAACAAACAAAAATAAATAATAAAAACCATACTCTTTAAAATGTGAATCGGAAGAAGCCATAGAAGTATAACTCAAGGTCAAGGGACGAAGGCGTAGTTCGTGGTGGGTTAGCTAACAATTATTATTATCAAGAATGGTAGATGAAGAAGAATCATGGCTTACCACTATACTCAGTCAATTATAGTTGGTGTTTTAGCAATTGACACAACTAAGGGATAATAATCGGTTTTGAGGGGAAAAGAAAGCTTGTTGGAGCTAATGTTTTCTCATAGCAATTTGGGTGCGTGAGATTGGGAATTTATAAGATTAATATTGTGAAGGTAGATTCATCCAGAAGGTCTTCTACAAGATAAGGACTGATTTCAAATAGAATTTGTTTGTTGTTTTTCCTTTTTATCCGATAACACCAATTCTAGAAAATCGGTTTCTCAATTTTTTTTTTAAAATACGAAAAATAATAATATTAATAATAATTTTACAATTTGAAAATAATAATTAGTTTTAAAGTTTATTTATTTTTGAAAAGAAATCGTTGACTAAAAAAAACTCCAAAATTAATACTCCAAAATTTGGGGTATTACATCTACTCCCCCTTAAAACGAAAGTTCGTCCTCGAACTTTAAAATTATCTCTCAGAAAGTCTCACGCGAAGATAAAAGATCAGTTAGTATTACATTCTACCCCCCTTTAAAAGTTTCGACCTCGAAACTTGGCATACCTGGTCGAAAAGTTCCGGGTAACGTTTTTTCATATCATGCTCAGCTTCCCAAGTTGCTTCTTCAGAATTCTGATTAGACCATAGGACTTTAACTAACTTTACCGCCTTATTTCGGGTACTTCTCGTTTTGGTGTCGAGAATTTTCACAGGGCGTTCTTCGAAAGTTAAGGTCTCATCTAGCTCAATAGACTCGGGTTGGATAACATGGGTAGGGTCATGAACATATTTTCGGAGTTGGGAAACATGAAAAACATTGTGAACGTTGGCTAACTCCATGGGTAAGGCTAGTTGATATGCTACCTCTCTAACTCTCTTCAATACTTCATACGGGCCAATGTATCTAGGATTCAACTTCCCTTTTCTACCAAACCGCATGACTCCCTTGGTAGGTGAAACCTTAAGTAAAGCCTTTTCCCCAAATTCAAATTCCACTATTCTCCTATTCTGGTCTGCATATGACTTTTGTCGATCCTGAGCTGCCTTCATGTTTTCCTGGATAAGCCTAACTTGCTTCGTTGTTTCATCAATCATTTCTGGCCCCAAAGTCAAAGACTCACTGATATCGCTCCAACACAAGGGACTCTTACATTTTCTCCCATACAACGCTTCATAAGGTGCCATTCCTATACTCGCATGATGGTTATTATTGTATGAAAATTCAATCATAGGTAATCTTTCGTCTCATGCTCCGCCAAAGTCCATCACACAAGCTCTCAACATGTCCTCCAAGGTCTGAATTGTTCTCTCTATCTGTCCATCTGTAGTAGGGTGAAACGTTGTGCTAAACTTCAGGACAGTGCAAAATGCTTGCTGAAACATTTCCCAGAACATTGATAAAAATCTTGGATCTCTGTCTGAAATAATATCTTTAGAAACTCCATGTAGTCTCACAATTTCTTTCACATAGGCAGCTGCTAATTGATTCACATTCCAAGTATCCTTTATTGCTATGAATCTTGCTGTTTTCGTTAAACGATCAACTATGACCCAAATAGCATTCTTTGCTGCCCTTGTAAGTGGTAATCCCATAATAAAATCCATAGAGATAGACTTCCACTTCCATCCTGGTACATCTAACGATTGTAGCTTCCCTCTAGGTCTCATATGTTGTATCTTCACTTTCTGACATGTAAGGCACCTTGCCACAAACTTGGCTACTTCACGCTTCATGTTTGGCCACCAAAAATGTTTCTTAAGATCCTTATAGATCTTATCTCCTCCTGGGTGTACAGAGTACGGGGTGTTGTGAGATTCTTCTAAAATCTTCCTTTTGAGATCTTCATTTTTAGGAATACACCATCTCCCTTTGTATTTCACTGTTCCACTATCATCTACATCAAACTCAGTTGTCGCTCCTTCTTCTTTCATCATCCTTACCTTGGTCAACCACTCATCTAACATTTGCTTCTCACGAATCTCATTATATATGGTAGGTTTGACTGACATTGCATTCAACTGAGCGTTCACTTGGTCGTACTCTACAACCTAAAAGTTCAACTTCCTAAATTCTTCACAAATTTCCTTGGCTAAAATCATCAAGTTCACTGTATGAGTTGTCTTCCTACTCAAAGCATCAGCTACCTTGTTTGCCTTTCCTTCGTGATACAAAATGTCTGGGTTGTAATCGGTTAGCACCTCAAGCCATCTTCTTTGCCTCATGTTCAAATGAGTCTGTGTGAATATGTATTTAAGACTCTTATGGTCCGTATACACCTTACATCTCACACCATAAAAGTAGTGTCTCCAGATCTTGAGAGCAAACACTACCACTCCTAGCTCCAAATCATGAGTAGGGTAATTATGTTCATGTTGCTTGAGCTGCCTTGATGCATAAGCTACAACCTTCCCATGTTGCATAAGTACACACCCAAAGCCATTCTTAGATGCATCACTATAGATTTCAAACCCCTCATTCCCTGATGGTAAGGTTAAGACTAGTGCTGAGGTGAGTCTTCGCTTCAATTCTTGAAAAGATTGCTCACACCTCTCATCCCACTGAAACTTAGTAGTTTTCTTCATCAAATTTTTCAAGGGTTGAGCTATCCTCGAAAAGTCTTGTACAAATCTCCTATAGTATCCAGCAAGCCCTAAGAAACTTCTCACTTCGGTCACACTTTTGGGTCTTGGCCAATCAGAAACTGCCTGAATCTTGGATAGGTCCACCGCAACTCCTTCCTTTGAGATCACATGGCCTAGAAATGCTACCTTCTCTAACCAAAATTCACATTTTGAAAATTTGGCATATAACTTCTCCTCTCTAAGAATCTCCAACACTTTTCTTAGATGTTCTTCGTGTTCTTCTCTATCCCTCGAGTACACCAAAATATCATCTATGAACACCACCACAAATTTATCTAAATATAGCTGAAAAGTTCTACTCATGAGATCCATAAAAGCTGCCGGCGCATTAGTGAGTCCAAAAGGCATAACAGTGAACTCATAATGTCCGTATCTTGTGCGAAATGCTGTCTTTGGTATATCTTCCTCAGCAATCCTCAACTGGTGGTATCCTGTCCTCAAGTCAATTTTTGAGAATATCCCAGCACCTTTAAGCTGATCAAACAAGTCCTCGATCCTAGGCAATGGATATTTGTTCTTTATAGTGACATTATTCAACTCTCGGTAGTCAATACACAACCTTAAGGATCCGTCCTTCTTTCTCACAAACAAAACTGGTGCTCCCCAAGGTGAAACACTTGGCCTTATATAAACCTTCTTCAGCAACTCCTCCAACTGTACCTTCAACTCTTTCATCTCTGTTGGTGCCATTCTATATGGTGCTTTAAAAATAGCTCCAGTCCTAGGCACTAAGTCTATTTTGAAATCAATCTCCCTAACCGGCGGCATCCCTGGAATTTCATCTAGAAACACATCTTGGAATTCTCTCACCACTTCTCTTATACACTCAAATCTTGCACATGGAATAAATAAATAGGGTATCCCTTTCGGATATGAGAATGAAAAGTCATGGCTGACACAACACTGATCCCTGGTTTTGACACAACCCCCTGGTAAGAGATTTTATTCCCTCTTGGCCCCTTAAGAGACACCTTTTGGGTATGACACTCAATTCTAGCCTTATATTTACTAAGCCAATCCATCCCCAACATCACATCAAAGTCAGTTAAGTCAAACTGAATAAGGTTGCAAGCAACTCAGTTCTAGCAATGTTAACTGGAATGTCTTGGTATAGGGATCTACAAGGAACTACCTCCCCTGAGGAATTGTTATATTGGTTTGACACAAGGATGAAGGTTTTAAAGCATGCTTATTCACGAAAGAAGTGGCGACAAAAGAATGAGATGCCCCAGAATAAAAAAGTAAATAAGCAGGTTTTGAGTTCACGAGAAAAGTACCCATCACAACGTCGGCATTAGAGTCAATCTCGCTCTGGTTCATGACATAGATTCTTCCATTACAGGTCCTACCATTTCCATTGTGGTTGCTTCCTCCGCCATTGTTGTTGCTTTGGCCATTCCCTCCTTGAGCATTGCCATTTTGGCCCTGAGAATTGTTGTTGTTGAAGCGGTTGTTGTAGTTTGAGTTCCTCCCATAACTACCTCCCTTGTTGCCATTGTTGTTACCTTGCCCATTCTGAGCTTGATTATTGCCATTCTGCTTCTTTGGGCTCTCAAATTTCTTGTGACCAACCTCCCCACATTCAAAGCAAGTAAGCAAATCTCCATTGCAGTTGCGTCCTGGATGGCTCTTGTCACATTTACGGCATGGTCGATTGCGAGATCCTTGCTGATTTCGTTTTCCCTGGCCCCGGTGGTTGTTGCTTTTATTGTTGTTGTTACGGCCTCCCTGCTGACCATTTCCACCATTCCCATTGCTATTACCCCCTAGGCGTGGTCTCTTGTCATAACCTTGAGGGTTCGATGAACTCTCACCATTTCCTTTCCTCTTATGCCTATCCTTGACCTCCTGTTCACGTTTCAAAATCCTTTCAATATTACAAGCTCTATCATAGGCCTCTTTATAAGTAGCAGCAGTACCAGCCCCGATCACCTTCTTTTCGATCCTAAAAGTCAGTCTATCTTCAAACTTCTGAGCCTTGGATCTCTCATCAGGCACTACATTAGGAAAAAACCTTGCGTACTCATTAAATTTCTCAGCATACTCCTGCACACTCATACCAGCTGTTTGGTTAAACCTACTAAACTCAATGTATTTCTGCCTCTTGATATGCTCAGGAAAGAAGTGATCCCTGATTGTTGTCTTAAAAGCCTCCCAGTTAAATTTATGTTGAGCTCTTATGGTGGCTCCTTCATTTTCCCACTAAATATCAACAGCCTCACGTAAATAGAATGTGGCTTAATCCACCTTCTGAGAATCAGGGGTACCAGCAGCAGTGAAAATCTTGTCAAAGTCACGTACCCAGTTCTCAACCAACATGGGATCTTCCTTCCCCATAAATAGCGGAGGTTTCAATGCAGCAAGTTTCTTAACCATAGCAGCTTAAGGGTCGTTGTCATTATTGTTGTGGTTGTTGTTGTTATTCAGCTTGTTTTGCAACAACATTCCAAGGTTCTGGTTTATTTGTTCAAGAGCTCTTAACCTAGAAGCAAGTTGTTCAGGATTCTCAGCCATTTGTGCAATTCTTCTCCCACGAGACCTGGTGTAAACGTGGTAATTTTGCATACACAGTCTGCACAATTTCAACACTGGTGTTACCACCATACACATTTTAACATGACTTATTTAGATCGTGTGAATTGCAATTAAATCATCAACCACGACATGCTTTCATGTAACACATCAGCACATATAGAGACAAGAATTAAGCGATGTATTAAATCTCATAGCATTCAAAGAGTCGGCCAAATTCCAAACCAAATAATGCATCAACTTAGCATTAGACTATAAATTCGCGCATTGCTTTGTGATTTCACTATCACCCGACCAAGTCATTACTAGTCTTGACTAAAGTAAGCATAAGAAAATAAGAGCTTTGGCCTATATAAATACAATAGATAGAAAAAAAAATGAATTGATTTTGATTAATAATCATAAAATAGCAAGGTATAAATTTATTAATCAAAATTATTTTATTGCAAAACCAGAAGAGAATGAAACCCGTCTTTGAAATAAAATACTAGTACTAAATAGCTCAATAAACTACTAGTTACAAATAAACCAAAACTATAGTTTCTAGTCATAAGAAACTAGCTTTTGTTTGTAAAACTAATATATAAAATTTTTAACCAAATAAACTAAACGTAGCTTTAAAAAAAATAAATGGATAATTCAATTACTATTTTCCCCTTGACTCTCACGAGCTTCACTTTTCTGGGGCTCATCCTCCTCCTCATCATCCAGGTTATAGTCTAAGTCTCGCTTGGCTTCCATCATAGCCTTCTCAAGGTAGTCCACGGTAAAGATCCATTGTTCATCATAATAATAATTATCATTCGGTTTACCATTAATGTATAAGTCAACATACTTCTTTGTAAGTTGAGCATAGGGTCCCTTCCCAATTAACGTGTGCAGAAGGATTTGAGATCGCCTCTCTGGAGTGAGATAATCAGATTGGCCCCCAAGTATATTGTAATGAAAGTGCTCAATGCCGAGATTTAAGCGGTGCACGTAATGTTGAATATTTTCATTATAACTCATAC